TCCTGATAACGTTAATGTCGTGCCATAAACTAGTTCAGAGGCCGTGCATCCGATGTCTTCCTTTATTGACGAGCGAATCCCAAGGAGAACGAGCGGTAAAGCATCGCTCCATCTTGAAGAGTCCGGTTGTGCCATCAGAGAGCTTTTTAGTTGGCGATGGAATCTTTCGACCATGCCATTAGCTGCCGGATGATAAGCTGTCGTTTTAACATGATTTACTCCAAGAAGTTTGGTGAACTCGTTAAATAGGACGGACTGGAATTGGGGACCGCGGTCTGTTGTGATTGTTGATGGTACGCCAAAGTTGGATATCCAGCGGTGGAGGAAAACTGAAGCCACTGTCTCTGCTGATGTGTCTTTAATGGGGCATGCTATGGCCCATTTGTGAACCCATCTATTGCGGTGAGGATATGTGTGAAAGAGTTTGATGGTGGCAGAGGCCCAACTAAATCTAAATGCATGTGCTGGAAGCGTTTGTCAGGGATAGGGAACTTCCCAATTGGACTGTAGGTGTGTTTTTGCGTCTTACTGCGTTGGCACTGGAGACAGTTACGTGTCCAACGTTTAACATCCGAGTTAATTTTAGGCCACACAAAACGTTCGGTAATTAGCTTTGTTGTTGCTCTGATGCCTGGATGTGAAAGACCATGTAAATGCTGAAATATTTTTCGTCGGCAAGCGTGTAGGACAAACGGACGATTGTTGCCTGTTGAAGTGTCGCATATGATAAATGTATCTGAAAGAGGAATCGGTACAGGTTTGAGATCTAAGCTAGACTTTTCTTTGCAGGCTTTCAATTCTGCATCGTCTGCTTGTAATTTAGCTAAGGTTTCAAGGCTGATGTCATGATTGAGTACCATCGTATTGATATCCCTCCTAGATAGTGCATCTGCAACAATGTTCATGTGACCTTTGATAAACCCGATGTCTGTGGTAAATTGGGAGATATAATCAAGTTGTCTTGCTTCTCGTGGGGAGTGTTTGTCATACGATGTGCTAAAAGAATGGCAAAGAGGTTTGTGATCTGTCATAATGATGAAGTCACGACCCTGTAGCAAAAAGTTGAAATGTTTTACTGCTAAATACATAGCTTAGAGTTCGCGTCCAAAAGTACTATAACGTTCTTGTGCTGGCGATAATCTTTTGGAGAAAAAGGCGATGGGGGTAATAGTGTTGTTTACCCGCTGTTGTAATACTGCCCCGACGGCTTTTTGTGAAGCATCCGTGCATAAGATCAACAGTGTTGTGGGGTCAGTATTTAGGTGTTGAAGCATGGTAGCGTTAGGAATCATGGATTTAGCTTTTTCAAATGCTATTTTGGCATCGAAAGGTAACTTGAATATTTGGTTCCTTTCTTTCTTGGTACCTGATTTATCGTTTTTCAGTAAATCTGTCAATGGCTGTAGTACATCGGCACAATTTGGTTGAAATCGTCGATAAAAATTACATGTTCCGAGAAAACGACGTAGTGATTTTACTGAGGTTGGTTCTGGATAGCTGGAGATAGCTTTGACTTTCTCTTCAAGCGGTTTAATTCCTTGGGAATCAATGTGGTGTCCCAGGAATTCCAGAGATGAGGCGCCAAATATACACTTCGAAGGGTTGATTACAACACCATAACTTTTGAAACGTTCAAAAAGTGTGTGTAGATGCTGAACATGTTCGTCAATGGAAAAACTAGCGATTAAAACATCGTCGATATAGACAAATACGAAATCCAAACCTCTAGTTACTTCGTCCATAAATCTCTGAAAGGTTTGAGCGGCGTTTTTTAGTCCGAAAGGCATCCTCAAGAACTCAAACAAGCCAAAAGGTGTGATTACGGCTGTTTTCTCGATATCCTCAGGTGCCATCGGTATTTGATGGTATGCTCGGACTAGATCTAACTTTGAAAAAATCTGTTTTCCATGTAGATTTAAAGAAAAATCATGCAGGTGAGGTATCGGATACCGGTCTGGGATAGTCTGGTTATTCAAACGGCGATAATCTCCACATGGGCGCCAGTCTTGATCTTTCTTGGGAACCATATGCAGCGGCGAGGCCCAAGGACTGTTAGATTGTGTGATTATTCTCTCTTAGAGAACTGCAACTTGTTTGGAGGGATTCTTCTCGCCCTGGCGCGAATGGGTTGTCCTGTAGTAGTAAAACTGTGTTGGACAAGATGTGTGGAGCATTCGCTTTGGTAATCAGCTCTGGTTATACTTTCATACCTCGACAGGATATCGGTGAATATTTTGTTTTCAGGTCTTAACATACGGACTCCATGAATTTCGTAACTGGAGATAGTTGTGCCACTGACCTGTAAGCTTGTTTTTTTGTCGATTAGTTTCTTTTTGCCATATCTACAAGTAGGTTGTAAGCACCGAGAAAATCGGCCCCGATAATGGGTTGTTTGACTTCAGCTACGATGAAAACCCATGTAAAACGTCTCCGGAGACCGAGATCTAAAATAAGTGATTGTTCGCCATAAGTCTTAATGACTGTGTTATTGGCTGCGACTAGAGACAATTTAGTACTCTGAGGGTGCCGTCGTTGAGAGATGTGTAATGGGATAATGATGATTTCGGCTCCTGTATCGACCAAAAAATCTGAGCCCAAAAATCGATCCTTGACATGAAATAGACGGCTCGGGTAGTGGCCAGAAACAGGCGCCGCCATCACTGTCTGGCTGGGCCGTTTCCCTGATTCTCTGTGTCTGTTGCAGAAAATGTGCACGGTAGTGTGCAACGCGTGCTTCGGTGCCGTAATTTTGGTGGTACCAACAAACTTCAGATGTTCACTTTGGTGTCCTAGACCGTTGTCTAGAAAAAATTTTCGTTTGGGGGGATCTCGATTGTTTAGCTTGGATGGTTGCTATGGTCGATTGCAGCGACGCCAGCTGGCTCTTTAATTGCGTTAACTGCTTTTGAAAGGAGGCTAAACGACTGGTATCTGTTGGTTCAACGGGTTGTAAAGAGTTTACACAGTGATTGTCGTGGTATACTTCCATAATTTCATCCGCCATGTCGGCTAAATCGTCTGAGATAATATTAACTGAACTTAAATGAGTTTCAGTAGAGATAGACAATGTGACAAATGTTGTTGTCGGAGGTGAATCCATATCAATTAGTTTAGTGGGAGAGGACATCACGAGAAAAATAAACCAGTATATCGTGTGAAATGGTAAACAATATAACAGTTAGGATAAACACGAGGCTCACCAAATAATTGTGGTGGACCAGACGATATATAAATGCAAAACGTATCAACAAAGTTAATAAAGATCAATAGAAATGTCAATATATATAAGTTAATTATTACAAATACAATAAAAATGGGACTTTACTTAAGTTCACCCAAAATGATGCGTGTTCAGCTTTAGTCTGGTACAATAAATCCACAATTATAAATGCTTGGTAATTCCAAACGTGTCGATGAACTCTCCAGTGATATAATTCAACGTAGGATGTGATATATTCCAATTACTGTCTATAAATGTAGACGAAATTTGGTTTAGACTTCAGTCAACTCAATCACAAACGAAGATAGAACGAGGAATGTATGAGCAGTAGTGTATTTGTTAGCCAGCAACAGTATGTCACGCTATGTTAGTTTTACAACGGAAAAAGTGTTCAAGGTCATTTACTAGAACAACAGGTACAATCATTTAATGATAAATATACAGACAGTGGAAGATTGACAAAATAAATACAAATAATATTAAAAATTATTTACAAAATAACCTTGTCAGACCTATCTTCACAAGGTCTCCTATTCTGGTCTTAAATTCAAACTAGAACGTTTTGGGATCCATTATACAATCGTAGATTGGATAAGTCACTTTATCCATGACAGGAGACAAAGCGTAACGGTTAATGGAGCTCTCTCCTTGTTAGTACTTGGAAAAAGTGGCGTTCCCCAAAGTACAACCCTCGGTCCTCTTCTCTTTTTACTTTATGTAGATGAATTATCAACTGTGGAAGAGTTATCTGCTCTACTTCTCGCCGGCGACATAAAGATTCGGAGACCTATGCACAGTAAGTCAAGTAGAGTAGTATAACGGGATGATCCTAGCTCATTGGTGGCATGGTTGGACAGATGGTCACTAGAAGAAAATCCTAATGATAGTGTAGTGATGCAATTAAATAATCATGATAATTCGTATCACTACACAATATGTGGATTCGTGTTACCCAAAGTAAGAAACTATAAAGATTTAGGAGTAATATTAAGCAGTGATCTCAAAACCACCAGTCACTGTAAGGCTGCTGCTGCTGCTACAAAAGTCTATAGGGTGTTAGGGTGTATTTGCAGATCTTACCAGTATTTAAATGACGAAATGTTTAAATTATTGTACCCGATTTACGTGCAATTACAATCGGAATATGTGATTCAAGCAGCGAGTTCTTGTTTCGAGTATGAAACAGATATGCTGGAAAGAGTCCAATGACAAGGTACTAAGATGGTAAAAGGTCTATCTGCCTATCTTATGTAGACAGACTGAGACACCTCAACTTATTTCCGTTATCTTACCGCAGAATACTATGCTGAACGATGACTTTGGCACTAATATGTCTTATCTTTTCCTTCCGTCCAGGACTCATCATTTGAGAAGCAAGTTAAAAAAACAAGATCAAATCGTCTACATCTGCAGTTTCATTTCTCGCACCAAGTAGTCAATTACTGGAATTCGCTATCAAAACGCGTAATATTAGCACCTTCTGTTGATATATTCAAAATGAGATTGGACACCCAGTGTTGAAAACTGCAAGGATTGATATGAGTGGACAGACCGCATGTCCTATCACTATTACTGAAGTGGTTGAAGATCCATCTGCAAACACACTTAAAAGAAACTTGAATCGACAGAGAGAACTCTATATTCAGGGCAAAAGCACTCTTTCCAAGCCCTTTTTCCTCTAGAAACTGAAAATAATTGAATGTTGAAAAGTGGAACCTGTGAGAATGTTTTAGTGAATCGGGGTTAAGGGTCTTAGTTAAGCTTCCAATTTCGGCGTGAGATGTCTAGACTTGTTTCTCGTGTTTTGTTTGGTGCTCGTTTAACGTTCGCAAGTAAAGGAATCCAGATCTTAAGTAAACCAAGTACTATTAAACATCTTACTACTTCAACTTGGTTCTGTTCATCTCAAGGTAAGATTTTCGGTTGTCTATACGAATGTAGTCTAGTTGACCGTCAGCTCAACCAGTTTCTGACCAATGAGATTAAACAAGAAAAGGCAAATGCTTTCTCCTGCGATCCCCCTGAAGGGTTTAAAGTAGTAAAAACCAATGGATGTGAAGTCGTTATACGCAAAGAATATCAAGATGGAGTGTAAACAATATTTATCTTAAATATATTAGATTTAGTTTCGTCGACGTGGAGATTAATTTGGCTGGTAGTGTTACTCCTAGTATTTCTGAAGATGAAATGAGTACTACGGAAAAGAGTGAGGATGATACTGCTTTGGAGGCTCATCCTGATTTGCGTATTAAACTCACAAAACCTAGTGGTCGAAGTCTGGTTTTCAACTGCAGTCTTCCGGGCCATGACGCTGAAAAACAACTTTCTGAAGATGAGTCGAATGATCTCCGTAAGTGTTTTCTTGTGTAGTCAGCGTTTGGTAAATTTTAGTATAAAATCTAACAAGTTACAAGGTTTATGCCATAAAAACTTCTTAGTGTAGCGGTTTAGACAGCAGTGGTTGCAAGGTGAGATTCTGTTCTGTAATCTAGTCCGTGAATCTTCGTTTACCTGGGCCTGTAATAAGCTTCATAAGAGAAGGTAGCTAGCTTGTGTTAGCTGTAAATATGTTGAGAAAACTGAGCTTAAACGTATCTAGCAGTTTTTGTAGGTAGTCGGACCTTTATCTCGCTATTAATTTCGTTAGACACTTGGAAAATCCAGTGTTCATAAGGTTGTGTTTTAGATGAGTTGTCTAGTTATATGCATAACGCTCAGCACACTTGAAATAGCTTATTTTAGTCCACATCTACACACACCACACCGGTACAGCTGACTGACTTTCTGGGTAAGTGAGCTTGTCAGAAACTGACAACAAGGTTACCCTCCTCATTTTAGTATGATCTGACCAGCAAAAAGTTCTGACAACTCTAAGTAACAATGCAAGCATGTTCGAGATGCGATTCTCCCCCTCGAAATGCAAAATGCTGCTTCAGGATTGGGCTGCATCGACACTTGAACTAATGATAGGGAGTGAAGTAGTCGAGCGTGCCGACCGCTTCACTTATCTTGGAAGTCTCATCAGCCCTTGTGGTCTGGTGTGTGACGAAATCTCAGCACGGATACAGAAGGCTCGACCAGCTTTTGCCAACTTCCGTCATTTATGGCGTAGGCGAGATATCCGTCTATCAACCAAAGGACGTGTTTACTGTGCAGCAGTTTGTTCCATCCTACTTTATGACGGTGAAACATGGCCAGTAAGAGTAGAGGATATTCATAGGCTACTAGTATTCGATCATAGGTGTCTTTGAAACATTGCTCTTATATCCTGGGACCATCGAGTAAGTAACGCGGTTGTTAGGAGACGGGTACTAGGTAAGGGTGGTGAATCAATTGATGAAGTGATGAAACTTCATCAGTTGAGATGGCTGGGACACGTGTTACGTATGACTGGTTGGGGACCGCGAAATAATAGCAACCGATGGTTAGAGACCCTGAATGACATGGCTCGAAATCGTTTGCAATGGCTCAGGTGCATCCACTCTTTGTGTTCTCCCAAATTTTAATCTTCTGATTCCTCCTTGTCTCTTTTTTCTCTTCCCAAATTTATTTCACTGGATTATACTCTTTAAATAACATCTCCAAACCCTAATGTTTCCGATTACTGCTTACTTCTACCACTACGGGATTTGAATCGACAACTGTGTCTCTGTGCTAATGTGGTATGGCAACTCGAACTGATGTACGTACGTACAAAGTTTTACGTTGTTACTGACTGACTGACAGACTTACGGTATCCTTAGATTGTCTACGTGGAACAGAGGCGGTTTTTGAAAACTCTAGGTAAACGTCTTGACAATAATCTTTCGCTTTATAGTCTAATACATTTCTTCCCTTTACAGCTACTTATTCCGTGGACTCAGTTGAAATTGAACGCATCCCAGGCTATTTCGTGTATACTGATTTATTTGACGACGTAAGTGACTCACAGTAGTACTGTTCAACATCTTTTGACTAGCCTAATGACTCCTTTCTTTTATCTTAGGATATGTATAATCATACAATGCAATTGCTGGTAGAACGAGGACTGGACGCAGACTTTCAAGAAGAATTGCAAAACTTCTGTACTTCAGAAGAGCACAAGTTATATTTGAAGTTTTTGGATGAATTCCAGAACTATTGCAAAGACTAATTTAAGAAAAATCGCACCAAAGTAGCTTCAATTGTTCAAATAATTGCATTTGACGCTGAAGAATTTTATTTAAATAATTACAAAATATTGTACAAAATAGTTTATCTTGAGTTACTATGCATTCAGCAACTGTTCGCCTGCTTGTGCTATAGCACTACCTAAACAAACATATGTTTCGTAGTTGTTGCCTTCCGCTTGACTAAATGTATCGTCAGGTTTTGTACTTGTTTTTTTGAGGAAGTCGCCCAAACTATGCTTGAAGGTAGATAAATTTTGGGTGAACCTGAAATCAAAATTAATAGAGTTGATTGACACCGTGCATATACTGTTAATCTTTACTATAAAAAGTGTATGAATTCAGCACTGATAACTAGTTTAAAGTTTATCTGTGATAAAAAACAGATAAACTTTAAACTAGTTCAACCGGTGGGACTAACCCATATTTTGTCATCATAGAAACCGTGTTATTGTTGTATTACATTTTGTTCCAGAGCGAATCGTTAAGAATTTCAAACCTCTGACCTTTCAGTGTTATTATGGTTACTTATATGTAATACAAGTAGGCCTAAAGAGTAGCTGTTAGCTTCGAAGATTAGTCAGCAAGTTCCAAAATATGCTTACTCATCAGAAAACGATGGTGTCTATTTAGCTAGTAGATAGGGAGGTTTTAATGAATAAACCACGGGATTCTCAAGCGATGAAAACGAACTTTGATAGCACGAAAAGTTTTGAAACAGCATTTGGGATATGGGAGAAAAAGTTATATGTCGCTACTTTGGGTGGCAATTGATCTTCACTATGAATAGTTGATAGGTCAAGTAATTGTGCTTTTAAGTTGGTGGTTACGCTCGCATGCCCCTATGATCAGCACTGGTTAACCTTTACAAGTTTCTCCACGGTATGAGCAGCCGGGAAGTGACAACCACCCTCATACACCCAACAAGACACGAGACCATCTTATTGACGACCAAACTTCACACTCACCTCTTAATAAATATTTCATTCACACGACTAACCCTTCTCACATCTTTATTACCACGCGCTACCAGTACTGATGATTTAAGATCACGAAATGTTATTCTTGGTTTTCTGGAACCAAGCTCTAAACTACGTGTTGGAGCTTTTACGTTTCGAACCTTGTGTCAGATAAGACAACTGGCTTCTTTAGCTACGACTCGAGAATCTCGCGCCATCGATGTATGCTGTCTTCGGAACGCGCAAACAGGACCCAAGTAGTCATTCATTTGACCTCAGCTAGTCAGTATGACGAACTTGTACGATTTAACCTCTGAGTATCTGGAGATCCTACTGGGGTAGAGGTGGTATTAATCTTAAAAGCATAACAGCTATTGTTAGGCTGATCAAAATAGATAGTCGGTCATGCGCTCCTATACTAAACTGGACAGCTAAAACTTTAAAATGTGTGGACTCATACCGTCGCATTTCCGTTGTCTATGCTTACGCTCCCACTGACTAGCTCAGACAAAGTTGAAAATCAATTTTATCGGGAGTTATCCAGTCTCCTTCAAAAACTTCTGGTACAGTGATAGTGGCAGGTGGTTTTAATGCTCATGTATGTAAACTAAATGAAAACGAAAGGTACTTAGACAGATCTTATGGTGTTGCGGATCAGCCAACAAACAAGGGTGACCATCTGCTGCAATTAGGCTCGGATAACTGTCTATTCCTAGTAATTATCAACTTTGAACATAAGGATAAACATTGTTTGGTGTGGCAACCTCGATCGATTAGCGAGGTAATTAATCCTAATGTCTGAGACGGTTAAGACATGTAATACCAATGCCCATCAAGCGATTACTTCGACGCGCGATGGTGACTAATGGAGGAGCAGGTTGGAAGAAAGTTACAGGTCGCTAAACTGTGATATGGCGTCAGTTCGTGAAGTCATATGGAGTTGGACTAAGTCATTTAAAAAGGTGTACACTACCTAGTTGAATTCCGCGTAACCAGTTATTGAATGAATAACATGGCTCAAAATCGTTTGTAATAGTATAGGTGAATCCACTCTTTGTCTTCCTCCAGATTTTACGCTTTTGAGTTCCTCATAAATTTTCTGTATTCTACTAATTTATTTTTTCTTGAATCGTATCTTCCGTTCCTAATCTTTCCTATTATCACTAACACTGTTACAACTTATGCTTGTTCTAATAATTTTACGTGTCCGTACTAATTAGGTGTAGCAACTTAAACCGATGTATATGCGTATCAAGTTTTACGTTGCAGATGACTGGCAAGGGCGAAATATTGTTGTAAACTCTGTATCAAGGATACGATAACAAAATTATTTACTGTGCCATATATTTAGTGGTTAAATAATTGGAAATGAAACAATTAACTGTGCTATGGCGAGCCTATCCACGAAAGGGACTGTTTTGTTACCTAATAAGGAGTATTTCAATTGGAAAGACAAATGTAAAACTTTTACATTGTCACTAAACTTACGTGTCACGATTCTTAACAGTCAAGTTACATTCAACGTCCTCCATTAATTTATCAAAGAGTTTGGTTGCAGATTCTTGTTTTTCTTCTGGTAGTTCTTTAATTACACGATTTTTTAATTCCGTATAGTACTACAAAATAATATGGGGGAGGGATATAGTATGAGCTATTTTAAAAAAGTGATACTAAATAATAAAATGAGACAAGTGTTATCAATGTGTTAAAGCGGAACGAGATAAGCTTCTGTTTAGCTTGTTAATTGTGATTACACTGCTTATGTTTCCTATTTTATTGCTAATCGACTATTCGCAGCCACTATTGTGTATGATTTTGTTTTTTCGCATTACGGTGAGGATGCAGTCCAGTATGTTTGCATATAAACCCATATATGTTTGAAATATAATAATAGCCGCTGGCTGATGACTTTTTAAACTCAAGGCAGGGCCATAAAGAAAAACGTGCGAGCAACAGATCAGTAGAAGTTTAGCTGTGTCGAATCAAGGTCAGAAGTGCTGATCAGGCAATTCTGAGACACTAGACCTTAGTAGAAGTAGTAGACCTGGAATAGACAAAATTAGAATTCTGATTAGTGACTTTAGCAGGTGATATGGGTTAGCGTTCTAAGACACAACACGATGAACTACATCAACAATAGGTAGGATGAAACTATTGAATATTATGGTAGAATCAGTATTTTTAACTTTTAAAGGTAAGTTCAGAGTATACAGCCAAACGATCTTGGGGTGTTAACCAATTTGGCAAATCAGGAGATGGCAAAATCATGAAATAACTTATTATGTTAGGAATTAGGATATGATTTTAGGATTGTTCCATTATAGCTGATGTTGATTGGTCATAAAAATCCAAACACCTAACCTTAAGTTCTTGTTGCGTAGGCGAAAGTGGACAATGCTTTCGGACTGGGTAGTGGCTCCCAAATGTCCTGGTACGGCCGAGAGTGTGGAGATTCCGCTCTTCCTCTCGAAATGTTCTCACACGGTCACGTATATACAACCAGTCCTACTCACTGCCTCCTCGTGGAAGTAGTGTTGTTCGCGAAGTCGAGAGGACGAAAATCAAATGTCCGGCGCTTTAACCGGGTTGGTGGACAAAGAGAGTCCACCTAGGGAGTTGGGAAACCCTGATTCCAAACCACTGGTGCGCATCGGGCTCCAGGATACTGGGGGAACAAATGAGGTATGAACCTACTGTTGGTCACCAGCTACCATAGAACCGCATCTCGTAAAGTTGCTTCAGTATCTTATGGAATATACATTTCGGTCAAAGTCTCTGGGCGTGGCCATATAAGGAAAACACCTGCTTTGGTCTGGGCACCCGGGCAGTATCCTAGCCCTTACACAAAATAATGATAACTGTTACTGGTCTCATTGTTATTGAGTGGTGCATATGTATTTTGCGCCCCCTTGTACCAATGCTTACGTGTTCAAACAAATAAATAATCTGATAGGTACCTGATGTGTCTTATATTCCTATCTTTTGCATTTACTGGATTGTTGATTAATCCACGTGATATGGTAAGTCAATCAGAAGTAGACTAATGAGAAGGTCAATTGGTGGCAATCAGAAATGAACTAGAGGACAAGTGCAATTTATTGGCTAAGAAATGGATCAATTTCCTAGGGGTTGGAGTGGTATATATAAAAATGAGTATTTGTGTATTTTACTCGGTAGCCCAATATACTTTCTAGTTCACCATTATATTGTCGCTCAAGTAGCCAGTTGGGGGGGGGGTTAGTGCATAACACACCATGTGTCAGTGTCATTTTCCAAACACCGCCTGTCACATCTAATCAGGCGAATTATCATTCTTGATTTGAGTTACGTTAACTCATGGTAGATTAGTTCCTCAATGGTTATTTAGTTTAAAGCACGTAAAACGTACAAAAAGTAAAATCCTTCATTGTTCATTCTAAGCAAACAAGCGTCTCATCAGTGTTCAAGAGTAGTCGAACATTATTTCACTCTTAACATTATTTCTTAAAAATTTTGATATTTGTACCATAACTTTTCTTTTCACCTCATTGATTCGACTACATGACCAATGAATACATTTCGCCGAGAAATGGGGAAAGACATGAGAAAAATAAACAAAAATTGGACAGAACTGGAAAGGAAAGCCCAGGACAGAGTGGGTTGGAGAATGTTGGTCGACGGCCTATGCTCCATTGGGGGTAACAGGTGTAAGTAAGTAAGATGTGACTACATATACTTTCAATTAAACACTATTAGAAAATATCATATCGATTGACGAATAACTATGAGACTTATTTATTTTGCTATCTAAGAGACATATCATCTCCTTAGTTGTGTACAAGAATGAATGATATAGTCTAAGGATAATGTGTCTCAACTTTATTCACTAAAATGGAATTATCAGAAGGGATTGAACTCCACTGGTAACGGCTTCACGCTAGAACTCCAGGAGTATCTCTTGAAGTCAGTCACTAGTGAGCAGAAGATTATTATCAGAAGGGGTTTGTGGATATTTTAGAAATTTCACAGATTGAAATCATCAGTCA